TGAATGCAGTATCAGACTTAACTGATTTGGCTCAAACAGGTTAATGCAATGTCTGTCCCAGACCCCTTGCTAGTTTAAGATAAACCAAACTCTCCCAGCATCCTGGCATGCTCTCTGGGCTAGGTGGGGCTTTCTGCTCCACAACAGGAATGGCCCTTCCCCTCTGCTCCATGGCTGGAGCTCTGGCAGAGACTGCAGACAGAGCAGGGTCTGCCTGGCTTCCCTCTGCCCTCCCCCACTCTCCCCCCCAATGCTCAAGCAGGAATCTCCCCCTCCTTCCTTCCCTCCCAACTCCCACAGCACAGACCCCAGACCCACGGACCCCAGGCATGGGGTATGCTAGCTAATGCCGAGTGTGGTTCTGTGTGTGTTTCCAATTTCACTGGGACAGGCAGACAGAACAGTGACTGCTTATGGCATTTTGGAGCTAATCAACAGTTGGTAAGCTGTTTAAGAAGAGTTTGAACTAATGGAGAGAGGCTATTGTTTTGCTGATGAGGTGATAAACAATGGTATCAGCTCCATGCTGGCTTGCTTGCCTGTCAGTTTGCTGCAGACAGTATAAAGAAGCAGGGAGGAAGATTGAAAAGCTCCATAACATCAACAGATGCATACACTGCACCCCCTCCCTTGCCTCAGTGTGCTAGCCTGAGGCTGGGGGCTGGCAACACTCCCGCCCCTGGAACAGCGAGTGGGGAAAAGCCTGGGATGGTGCAGGCAGACCTCCCTAATCAGAGGTCCTGCCAGGGCCTGGCCATGCCCCGTCCTTAGCTCATTGCTGTACTGCTCTAGCACCCCCCAACTTCTAGCCTGAGCCACTGCAGGCATGTGCCTAAATTTCCTCAGTCCACAGCAGTGGTCTCCAACTTAAGTAGGAGATCACCTTTGGCATTTAAAAGCAACCCAAGACCTACCATGAACCATCACCCCACCTCCTCCCCACACCCAGCAGATAAGTCTGTGGGGAGGGGGGGCAGATTGAGGCAGAGGGAGAAAAAATTATTTGGGAGTGCATCTCCCCAGCAGGTAAGTCCCACCCAGATGGGGCCCTACTCAACTTTTCCTGCCTCTGTGGCACTGTCCCTCACCACAGGGGCCTCGATTTAGTCCCCGCCCCTTCCCTCTCCCACGGACTGATCTGGGTGCATGCACATGGGCACTTGGTCTCCCATCCCAGCCTCAGATAGACTCCAAGAGGCTCCAAAATCTACTGCAAGAGGCTCCAAGATCTACCAGTGAATCAAGATCCTCTGGTTGGTGACCACTAATCCAGAGAGAATGTCTTTCCAGTTACAAACCAGTTCAGCCTAGCCAGGTTAGACTAATGTGCAAAGATTGAATCAATTCATGCTCAGGGTTTCTGAATGTCTGCCCCTAACCTAAATGAGCTAGTTTGGGTACCAGAAACAGTATATTTGCATCAGTGCCATAGCAATGAAGTTTGGTGCCTGGGGCAAAGCCTACAGCAACAGCCCCCACTTGCCCTGTACACAGGTCTGGGGGAGCACATGCCCCCCCTCCATGCTTGCTTGAGACTGCACACAGTGGTGGGAGCTGCCCTTCCCCCATCCCTGTGCCCCCCCCCTCCAACAAGCGGTTCATGGCTCTGTCCCATGCCCCGCCCCGACCGGCCAGCACCTGTTGGCGCCCCTTCACTTTGGTGCCTGGGGCAGTCAACCCACTCGCAGCCCCCTTGTTACGGCACTGATTTGCATTAATGCAGCACATCACCTGAGCTAATTCAATGGGGTGAAGAGCATTGTGTTACTGTAACTAAACTGTTTATAGTTTCCAAGTTATCTTGTTTAGAGGTAGCTTGGGTATACATGCATATATGCTATGCCCCCATCCCCACGTTATTTAAGGGAAACTAATCAAATGTAACACAATTCCCCATAATTTCTGGGTTTAGGACAGTACTTCTAGGCTAAACTGACTGTCAGTAGAATGAGACACATCAGGCAATTGTGGCCTCTGTTCCTAGTAAACAGGAAAAAGCTAGTTGACTTCAAATATGGAAAAATATTGAGTGGCCATTCAGCACTTACTTCTTAAGTCAATTTCCAGATTAAGCTTCGCAGTTTACTTTCAAGCTAAAAACATACATGTATTCTGATCTATTCTTGTAGCACAGCATTAGTTTTAGATTCAATGTCACTCAAATTCTTTGGCTATAAATGAGCATTACATTTACAGGTGCTGTACTCAGAATTACCAACGGAAACAAAACACAATTTTATCTTTTTCATGCTTAAAACTTAATATATTCTTCCTGAGGTGGAAACAAAGCAGCCGATATTCTAAATCTCTTCAATGTACCATGAATTATCTGTCAATTGAGTTTTGTTAAAGGAAAGAGATTGAAGTTCATTCTTAAAGGTTAAGATTCAGATTTACTGGTGAAAAAATGTGACAAGATTTCTATTGCAAATGCCATCTTTTTTGCAGAATTTAGAATGCAATTGGAAAATATGGCTTTTCTGGTTTTGGATCTAACTGAAAACTGCAATTATAGGAAACAATTCTGACTCCAGAAATTCAAATCCAAATGATTTAAAATATGAAGGAGTTGGGAGTCATGGTTACAATTAAGGCCAATTCTCCAAGCCTACTTTGCTACTGGATTGGTAGCAAAGCTACACAGTGCCCTGATACTTCTTGGGTTTAAAAGACTTTCTGGGTTGCAGAAACATACTACAGACACTTCAATGGGGTATTTTTAGTGAGAAAACACCTTTTTATAATTTATAGCAGAGACACACAAGGACAGATTTAGATGCAACTTATACTATATCCTCACGTTAAGTGCTCAGAAAAGACGTTAAAATAAATCTCTATCCCTCAAAATAAGAACGTTTATATGGCTTTAAACGTAACATAATAAACAACTAACAAGGAAGAAAGGGGTGTTTGCATTTTGTTCATTCATCTTTTCCATGATAAGAACAGATTCTCATAAAGCCCAATGGGTCTCTATCTCTGCTAAACCAATGCCAACTGACGTTTCAGTACTCATGCTTCTGGGACTTCCTTGTCAAAGAAACAAGACCTCATTGAGTATGGGAAATCCTAGACTGCCAAATTCAATCAGATCAGCTGGCCCAGGCATTGAATCTGTTGAGTTTACAGTTATGGACCCTACTGTCAGCCTGGAATAGCACACAGCCTGATAAGTCAATTACATGTATATAACATTTATTAGGAATGTTTGAAAATAAAAACCAGCCTGATGCAGAGAGCATCTCATCACTTATTTGGAGAAGTCTCTGGAATTCCTTGACTTTTATGGTGGCAGTGAAGCAGCTTCTTCGCTGTGAATCAAGGGTCTTATGCTAGGTACTACTGCTAGAATTTAACGTTAGACATTTCCCCCTATCAAATATGATGCAATTTCTATAAGTGAGGCTATGACATTGGAGGAAATTGAGAAACTTATACTTCATTTAGCTTTGGACAATGCTGTGTTTATGTAAAACCAAATGCCTTCCTGACCCCAACTGGCAACCAGTTTATGCTCTGGAAAATGAGATTAGATTTCTGTATGAGCATAAATGTAGGTGTACACAGAAATTCAAAGGATTTTCTTAACAATACTTTCTTAAATTTTAAAAGATTCCTGCTACAGTGTTTTATTTACTGTATATTAGCATCACAAGCCCAGGAAGCCATTGTCTACTAGAAGTGTGCGAAGCAGGCCATATTTGATTTGGATTTGGCCTGAATCAGGGACAGTGATTCAATTAGTTGATTCAGATCACTGTCACTGATTTGATTAGGCAAAATCTGAACCTGAAGATTCGATGCTGATTTGGAGAATCAGTGATTCAGACACAGACACAGCTTTAAAAGTTTTTTCTACATACCTTGAGGTAGCAGGTGCAGTTTGTGATCCCCGTGATGCTGGGGCAGATGAAACATCCCACAGGAGTGCGCGGGGGGCCCTCCATGTGCTCAGCAGAGAACCTGGACTGGAAGGACTTCCTGTCCACTTCTGGGTCTACCAGGGAGCATGCAGGGGATCCCCCCCATATCCCCCTGGTTCGGCAATCAGCCGCAGAGGGACCCCGGGTGCCCCCCCCAAACCCAGGAAGCACCAGTCACCGATCCGGGAGGACACGGGGGGGTAAGGGGCCCAGCGCGCTCCACAGCAGATCCAGAAGTGGACTGGAAGTACTTCCAGTCCAGGTTTGCTGCCGAGCACATAGAGGTATGTAGAAAAAACATTTAAAGCTGTCTCTATGTCTGAATCGGCAAATCTTTCCAAATCCCTCTGAATTGATTCAGAGGGTTCCAATTTGATTTGGAGAGATTAAAGGGTCCTCTGATTCGATTTAGATTCAGAGATGCAGCCACCGAATCGGGCTGAATCTCCACTGAATCGAATCAGGGACTGAAGCTTTGCACGTCCCTATTGTCTACATGGGAAGAATAAGAAATCAGAAGTTCTAACCAGCAGTAATGGCTGCTGAGAAAGAGAATTGTTTGACAGCAGCTTTAGGGCAGGAAGGAAAGAAGAGACTATTAAGGAATAAGAATGCATCTAATCCTAATGACATTCTACAATGTGGATCACCCCATTATTTTGATCACTACTTGCTTAATTTGTATTCTGGATCATCATGGTGTACAAATATTTGTCTCAATTAGTTGTCTATTATTATTTTTCATTTGCTATATTTTGTTTAGTTTTGGAGTTTCCTTGCTAAAAAAATGGTATGGTAAAATTAAAGTAAAAAACCAAAAGAGAAATCAGATGTTTGTTTTATTTGTTTTGCCTTTGGAGAAACACACTCTGGTTTAAATTACAGTGGATTATAGGACTAAATAGTTGGAGAAATATGCCTTTAAGAGCTCGCCTTCTCTCTCTCTCTCTCTCTCTCTCTCTCTTCCCTCCCCCCCTTTCTCCTTTTCTCTTTCCTAATTCTTTACAAAATAGCTTTGAAGACTCTCCAAATTAATTTTTTCTCTATTAAACGAGCATTTCAGATTTGTTATCTTACCTTTCATAATGTCTGCGAGTACATGTAGCAGCACTTGTGCTTCCAGGGTTACCACCTAATTCATCATAAATATGTTTCCATTGTCGACGGGCTGTTATCTGTAAAAATGGCAATGGAAAATTTAATCTTGCATCTTTACAGATTCTACAGCATTTGAGTTCACAGCAACAAATGCATGTGTGACACTTTCAGAACGGCATGTTCTACAAACAGTATAAAAGCCCCCGCAGAATGTATAGTGTGTCGTTTTTAGAAGATTATATTATATTCATCTGTTTCCTTTATTCTAAAATGGAGTCTTACAACAAGTTAATTATCAAATCGCTAGCAATTCAGTCTTGCAAAAAGAGAATCTCAATCAATATAGGGTCATTAACCATCAGAAGTTATGCAGACAAATCCCATGGTAAATTATGAAAATGAAACTAGAACTAAGCACAAATAATGATTACGTAGTTATTTTAACTGAATTAGAGAAAATGAATCTGCTGCAAAATCCAAATCCACCACAGACTCTAAATCCACAAAAGCAGAGTCTGTAACTCTATATGTTACAAGCTGTTTATTTTTATCCATTTATGTCAGTAAAATATATAGATCAAATGGTAATGAAATCTTAATATGTTCCAGTGTTAATATTTGAGCTATGTATTTTATTGGACCAAGTCGATGAAAATAAACATCTTGTAACGTATTGAGTTGCATGCCATGGTTTTGTTTTTTCATACAGAAATTAGGATTATACAGAATAACAGATGGAAGACCTGGCAAAAGAACTGTTTCTGAATACCAGTTCATTATTTTCTATATTCTACTATATTTAAAACAGGAAGAAAAACAGGAACAAGACAAATATAATTGATCACCCTCTTTTGCATGCAGATCATAAAAAGAGCCAGTAGAAAACTGTGGGGAAAAGTCTGGGACAATTATGGGAGAATTGTGTCCTTTTTCTGTGAAATGCTGTGGATCTTAATATATTCAAACCCAGAGGCTTCTTCAAAGTTACCCACAGAGCTGTCAATGGAGTTCACTAAGCAGCTAAAGGCAGCAATCAGAAGAAAACAAATATCACAACTTGCAATCTAGGGTCTGTAATTTTAATCTAAAGAAGAAGAGATATGGGTAGAATAGTTAAATATTGCTGGTCAAAGGGTGCCTTTTCCTTTACATAAAAGGAAAGCCCTTCCTTTGCAGAAAATATGCTCCTAAAGCAAAAGCGTAGTTGGAGATATGTTATTTGGTAATGCTATAATTTCTGAGGGATTTCTGAAGTTTATCATTAGTCTAGTTCCCCTTAGAAATCACCATTATCTACTTTTTGCTGCAGGTAAATTTAAAATAGCATTTTATCTATCAGTAATTTGAACTTGTAACAATACCAACATATACTTGGAAAAACTACATTTAAATGACATCTTCAAAATCATCCTTTTTTTTAAACACAGGGGACATTTTTGCCCAAGAAACTGACTGCGTTTATTAATTTAATATTTTCTTTTCTTCCTCACCCAAAGCTAACAGGCAAGGGAGCAAATAATTAAGTGACATATTCAATTAAGTGACATATTCTGGATGCCTGGATGATTTAAACAGAAGACACACATTCGTCTCAGGACACAGTTTATTCCTAAATCAATACTATTCAGATTCTTATATCACCTTGTTTATGACCATTGCTGTCTGTTATCACTACTAAACCATAGCTCAATGGTACTGAAGTCACAAGTCAGACTTGACCACTTTAGTCTTCCCACGTGAGCATGAATGTGTTCACAATCTGAGTTGCCCTGGAAAGGCCTGCTCTTGCTACAGTTGATATTAGTGTAAGCTTTGCCACTGGCTTCAATAAGAACAGGATCCACTTGATGAGCAAGCCAGATAAAGATGCTTTGTGCCACTTCAGCATCACAAAATAACCTTCAGGTTAGCTGTCAGCTCTGGGTTCTGGCATACAGAAATCCCTGGACAGCATAGCTGGCCCTTTTCCACTTTGCTCTAGCCTAGGGAAATGTTGTAGATGTATAGGAGAAAAAAGGCATGGAGAGAGAGACTTGCAGTCCGCTAATATGGGCACTATAGTGGCCCCTTGGGGCTGTTGCAGTTAGCTTAAATTAGAGTAGCCCATACAGCTCCAGGGGCATCAGGGATTCAAAGAATGCAAAGATGCAAAAAAAAAAAAAAAAAAAAAAATCTGTGCCCCCTCTTCCTGCCTTGTGTTTTCTGCTAAGTTCATCTCAGCTGCACCACAGAACTGGGGGCCAATGTATAGTGGCTTGGTAAAGAATGCTTAAACTATTTAGAGACAGAAATTAAAACATTAAGGCCATGTCCACACAGGTGTGGATATTTGTTTTCCTGGGGACAAGAAGTGGTGGCACACCTTGTACTGCTGCTACCTGTCCCCAGGGAACGCCTGTGCCATGCGCCCTCTGGCATGTGGCAGGTTACTCTGGGTTGGGTAGGAGAGGCTGGAGCCAGGACTGGGCTGGTCCCAGCAACCTTACCTGGGGTCCTGGGCCCTAGTGGAGTTGCAGCAGCGGTGATCCTGCTGCTTGGAGCCTGGTCTCTGAGCTAGACCAAGGCTCCAGCCAGCCAGGCTCCAGTTTTGGGTGGCGCATGCTGCCTCCATGTGCACTACTGGTTTGTTTTGTTTTGTCTTGTTTTGTTTCTTGGCCTGGGTTTTTTTTAACCCAGGATCTCCCAGAGTCAGAAAATCCCCCACACTGCTACCTTGCAGCATGGAGAACAGCTAAATGTGTGGTATGTGGTGCCGTAGATGTGTTGCACTCATTTGAATGTGGTCTAAGAATCAGCAATTAAAAGGTTACAGTTTCAACAGTGTTTGAATGACTGAAGGACCTAAGTTCCATATTCAAAAGCAATTTATGTGTTTAAGAAATTAAGTCTCATTGAATGAACTCAATGGGCACGTCCAGACGAGCGCGCACATGCCTCTTGCCCCATCTCAAACCTCTTTGAGATGGGGCAAGAGGCACATGTGGGAATGAAAAAATGTTCCCTGCACTGCAAACTTACAGCATGGGGAGAAAATTAGGCGACGGGTCTAAAAAAAATGGAGTTTAAAAAAGTGGGGCAGGGCTGTAGTTGGCCCCTTGCCCTAGTGCTGAAGAATTCCCTGCCCTGCCTGGCCCCATCCCCCACCTGTCCCCCAACCCACTCAAGCCCTGCCCTGCCTGGCCCCACCCATGCCTGCCCCCCCAAGGCCCCCAATCCCTGCCCTGCTTGGCCCCATTCCCACCTCTCCCTCTGAGGCCCCCGATCCCTTCCTTAGATGGGGCATGTGGGTCTTGAAGGGGGGTGGTAGCCTCTGCGGGGGCCATTTGGCCCCTATTGGGGGGCCGTAGCCCCTGTGGGAGGGCAGCAAAATATATATTCATGTATTCATGAATTCATGAAACATGTATTTAGAGTTCACTTTATTATTATGATAGAGACACTGGTAGGCTTCCACACTGCTTTAACACTGTAGATATGTCAATAAAACATTGCCCAACTGATTGCTCTCTCTCTCTCTTTATAGTGGTCTTTTGTTTTAATTGTGGATGAACATGGATTTTGGGGTATTTTACAGAGTGACTTTGGGATTCTTTTTTTTATCAGGGATTTTTCAGTTTTCCAATAGGGAACACCAGAATTCCTGCTAGGGAGGCTGGTGGCAGAACCCTGCTTGCTCAGAGCTGGTACCTTGGACCCAGCTGGCTGTGGCTGACCTCCTGGACAAATGGGGCCAGGAGGACATGTTTTGATAGTTCAAAGCAGGCCACCACACTGGGAACATCTTCCGGATGATAGCTTCCCAGATGGCCGGGCAGGGGGCACACATGGCAGTAGTGCTGCACAAAGCCCACCTCTGCAGCCACAGCCCACTGGCAGCTGGCCCAGAAGGGCAGATGCTTCTACTGGCTCTGCAGTCCCCATCTGGGTCTGGCAGGTGCACAGGTCACAGCCAGAAGCTCCTGAGAGCAGGTAGCCCTGAGCTTTTGTACTGATGGGGCCAGGACAGGGCAGCTTTTTATACTGGTGGGGACAGCACAGGTGCTGGCCCCGGGCTCTAGCTCCCCCTAGCTGAAGATCTGGGAGGAGCCAGGCAGGTTTATTTTGCCCCAAGTGGCACAATTTGCTCCATAACAAAGTGCATGTCCAAGCACAAGCACTGAGGCAAAAAGCCCCGGCTCAAATTTGCACCACTTCTATTTGAGCTGTTGCAAGCACACATGTTTGCATGTGTGGACATGCCCAATGGAGTTTAGGCTCCAGAGTCTCACAGACACTTTTGAAATTTAACCTTAAAATTGAAATCTTTTACAATATTTTTCTGTTTCATCTACATTATTAAAAATAGCATAGCCTGCTGAAGCCTAGATGGGCCCACTGTAATACACTGTTTCGGACATGCCTGTTTTTGTATTCAGTGGCATGCAAGGTAGTGCTGTAGCTGTTATTACATCTAGCTGCCTCTGATTCCTTAGACCAGATAACCAGGTACCCATTGACTGGGGGTGGCCTTTGACCTCAGTCTTGAGAAAGGCATGAATTCATGCTTTTGGGGCCATAGTGAGTTGCCTATACCATTCTAACACTGCACCCACACAAAAATAATATGGTTTACATAAAAAGTCAACTAAATGATATATCTCTAAATTAAGTTTAGTCTTCCATAAATGGTCAGAGTTCCACTGATATCAGTGGAGTTGTACCCTCTTATATTACAGTTAAACTTGACATTCTCTTTAAGTTTGTATAGCTATTTGAACATAATATAGTGGTAAGCTCCCCTGGCTCTTGAAAGTTTAGATTTTTATACCTAACAAACTTTAAAATGTCAAAAGAATAAATGACATAATAATATCCTTAAACTCACTGAACAAGATACTATATTGTAGAAATCTTTAAAATAGCCACTACTATTATTCAGGATAAGGTCATATTCAAATTTAACATTCATATTGGTCAGATCAAACATCAAAACTTCCTTTCTTCCCTGAAGTCTAACTTCTGCCTCCCTCTAGTGATGAACGTCCTTACATAGCATGGGAAAGGACCCTGCTTAGCAATGTTTTTTTCCATGATAATT